AGGCGCTCGGGGCCGTGCCCGAGGTTTACCTGGCCTCTCGGCAGCTGGAGACTGCGCCAGCTCACAGCTGGTTCTGCTTGAGTAAGTCCTCCAAGGACATGGCGAAGCCCACAGGAGAATTCCTGCTCCTCGCTGGCCGCCACCTTGGGGTAGAGAAATTGCGTGCTCGTCGGCGTGGTGGTGACCAGCCCGTTGGACTGGATGATGAGGCGTTCGAGTTCTGGCGAGGCGAGCTTGAGCAGCCCCAGGTCCGGCGAGGCGAGCAGGCCGTCGGGGGGCGCCGCACCAGGGGCGCCGTCGGTGCGCAGGGGGGCCGGGGGCGGCGCGGCCGCGGGCTTGAGCGCCGCTGCCACCTGCTCGCTCAGGCTTAGCGTCAGCGCATCCTTCTTCATCATGCTGCTGGCCACTGCCGTCGGGGGCGCCCCGGGGAACAGGCGACCCGAGGACGCGAAGCTGCCACCGCCGCCACTGCCACTGCCGCCGCCGCCCAGGCCGCTTAGCGCCTCATCGCCGTAGAAGGGTGTTTCCATCCTCCGCCTCCCCCGCCGCGCCGGTCCGGGGGGGAGGGGAGTGGCCGCGGCCTCCCGAGAGGCCCGGGCCCCCCCCCTGTCCGCTTGGCCCTGAGCCCGCCCAGGCTGCGGCCGAATGCGCCCGGCCCTCTGTTGGCGGCGGCTCCTGCGCCGCGCAACCCGCGCGCCTTCTTATAGCCTCGGCCCAGCGCGATGAGCTCATTGCCCCCGCTCGCCATTGGGCGCGGATGACGTATCTCATTTTACATAGAGGGGCGTGGCCCAAGCCAGCGACGCTCCCCCGGCTGCCGTTGCCCCGGTGACACGCGGTAAACGGCACAACAGCGCGCTGCCTTGTGGGTTGACATCATGGGGGTGGGCCGCGCGTCTGGGCCGGGTCACCCCGCCCCGGGATCGCTGTGTACAACGAAGGCCCCCAGCGCCGCCTCCCGCCAAGGCACGTCCGGGGTGGCGTGATAGGCTCGGCCACCAGGCGCCCGCCTGCTCCAAAGCCCCGCCCCGCGTCTGCGCGTGGGGCCAGTTCGGCGGGGGCGGTGCTGGTCCCGGGGAACGGGGGTGGGGGATATGGGGTCCCAGATGGACAAATAACTCCCTGGCGCCTCCCGTTCCACTGCGCAGACGGTGGTTCCCCTGACGTATCTCGGCCAGTCTTTGTGCGCTCTGGGGCCTGAAGGGATGAGGAGCGGTGGCCAGTGCCTCGCCGGAGATGTGAGCCAAGTCTGCCTTGACCCACCCTCACTCCAATGTCCGGTGGTGTGTGTGCCTCAAACAGACAGAGGAGGGGAAAGGAAGGCTGCCAGAAATTGCTGGACGCGCTTTGATCTTAATATTTTTCACTAGGAGCCCTCTAAAGCACGGGGTCCAAATTCCTGACAGATGCGAATCAGGCTCAGCGAGTGACCAGCCCGTAGAACCCTGGCGTCCATGCCCCTGGGCAGCCGCATGCATTTTAACTCTAGGTCTGCCAAGGCCTGCTGTGGGTCCTCCGGTTAGGGTGCCCTACAGTTTTTCCTTTAATACCCCTCCCCCCTCCCCGTTTCTCTCTTATCCCAGCTGGTAATTATTACCTGCTTATTACCATTATCATGACTGTTAGGGCTTAATGAGCCGCCCTAAAGGCTGGCTGGGGATGGGATACGAGGGAGGAGGGAGGGAACAACTCCCCCAACACTCCCCAGGGATCCTTGGGATATCTGAGTCTGACAGACAGCCCTTGCATACAACCCCTCCTTGGTTCCCACCCCACTCAGGATGGAGCCTACTTCTCAGCCAGGTGGTGGAGGCTCCGATTCCACACCCTTCTTCCTCCTCTGACCTTTCACCCTTACCCTCTCTGAACCTTGGCTTCCCAGATCTTTACTACCCCAGGACCTTTGTACCTGCTATGCCCTCTGGTGATTCCTTGGCCCAGTGCAAAAGTGTGTCCTCAGAGAGGCCCTTCCTACTCACCTTGTTCTCATTACCTTGGAATTATCCAGATGGAGTGGATCATAAGGCTCAAGAAGCGAAGAACCTTGTCTCTCCTGGGCCTGGTAGTTCCGCAGCTCCCTATACAGGGCCTACCTAGCATACAGTGGATGCAGACTGTTAAAGGAGAACACTGCCTGGTTGTGTTTGCTGTGGCAGTCTCTGGCCTTGGTTTGTGTGACTAGCCTGTGGGGAGGAGCACCCCCCCCCCCAACCCCCTTTCTCACCTGGCCTTGCCCTTAATGGCCTTGGAGCAAAAAGGCTAAGAGTGAGACTGTGATTATGAGCAAGAGGCCTGGACTGGCCTGGCAGGCAGAGGGCCAGGCATGTGGGTGTGTGTCTGTGTACACACTTGTCTACCTGTGCTTGTGTGTGTGTTCAGGTGTGGAGCAGGGTAGGTACCTTGTGTACATGCGTGTCTGTTTCCAGGCATGTAAGTTTCTGTGCCCTCTTGACCTGTCCTCTTGGGTCCCAGCCTGGGCATGAAGGGACCCCTGTTGGAAGGGAGTTGAGGCCAAACCTGTAGCCAGCCCCATCCTGGGACGCCTCTCTGGAGCAAGATTGGAGAGTGATTGGGTGGCCTAGGGAGGCTCCACCCCGTCCCTGGGTCCTGACCTTTTTTTTTTTTTTTTTTAATATTTTATTGGTTTTTTACAGAGAGGAAGGGAGAGGGACAGAGAGTTAGAAACATCGATCAGCTGCCTCCTACACACTCCCCACCGGGGACGCGCCCGCAACCAAGGCACATGCCCTTGATCAGAATCAAACCTGGGACCCTTCAGTCCGCAGTCCGACGCTCCATCCACTGAGCCAAACCGGCCAGGGCTTTTTTTTTACCTTAATAGGTAGATGAATGTCTGGTGATCTGTGGGCAGAGGCAGCCTGAGCTGAAAGATTGACCAGCAGACAGACCTTGAGAAATGGAGGCATATGGAAGCCAAGGCAGGTTACCTCTTTGAGTCCCAGTTTCCTCTTCATGAAAATGGAGCAAATACTCCTACCTATCTCATGGTGTATTGGGATTTTCACTGGATTTGCAGAAACAGTATAGGCTCAACAAATGTTCTCTATCATTGTTTTACTTTATTATTATGCAGCCAAATTTAACGGCTGTTTTTTGGTCTGGAGTTTCCTTAGCCTGGAGTGCCCTTCCGTAGCTTCCAGGCAAACTCCTACATATCCTTCAAAACCCACTTCCAGTATTCCTTCCTCCAAGAAGCCTTCTTTAACCATGCCATGCCCCTGGGGACTTCCCTAGACCCCTTCCATCTGTCTGAACCCTGTCCACCATTTGGGTCTGGCTCAGTATACCCCAAACAGGGGAGGAGGGGGGAGGGTCCTTGAAGCTGGGAGGGGAGGACCTTGGCTTCTAAGTGCAGTGGCAGACTTTACCAGCCCCACTTTCTAAGGCCTGACCCCCCCACCCCCACCCCCACCCCCCAGGCTCCTCTGCAGTGCACTTACTATTCCTTCTGACCTAATGCCCTTCCCTACCATTTCCTTCCTTTCAGCCAGGGAGCTCTCTGGGACACCCCAGCCCCGCCCCTCCATTTGGGCCAGCCCTGACTCCACAGGGCTGGGAAGAGGGGCTGTGTCCAGATCTGTCCCTGAGACTGGGGGCTTCTTGGGCAGATCAAGGAGGCCCTAAGTCCATCAACCAGCCCCTCCAGTGAACTAGGTATAACTATCATTCCTTCATTCATCCATTCCATGTACATTGATCGAGCACCTATTGTGAGCCCAGTGACGGGACACACATGAATGGCACAAACAACCCCACCCGCCCAGCAAAAGATCCGAAGGAAGAAGGTGGCAAACAGCTTCCTGGAGAATAAATGGTGCTTTTCCATGGAGGGTAAAGGAGGATGTTTTTTAGAGTTGAGTAATCTGGGAGAGGAATCACAGGAGGTGGTGCCGAATGAAGGAGCAAGTCAGGAGATAATCAAGGGCAGAGTGTCCCAGTGGGAACAGCAAGTGCAAAGGCCCTGAGGCAGAAGCCAGTTGGCCACATTGATGGAGAGCAGAGAAAGGTGGAGCTGGATTGGGGGGCGCCAAAGAGACAGAGGCGAGAAGGAAAGTGAGGTGGCAGAGTATCCACCAAAACTGGGGTGGGTGATATTTGTTCCGGGCTGTATTTTCAGCTTTATTCTCCCAGCAGCTTCAAGAGTCTGGGGACATTATCCCACTTCCTAGAGCAGTGTCCAGAGGGGGTCCACGACCTGCCCAAACCGACCAGAACTCAGTCGGTCCTCCCCACCCCCCCCCCTTCCCTACAGAGGCTTAATCTGAGCCCACCCACCCCCATCGCCCGGGCTCTGGCCTCTGGCCAGCGCAGAGAGATCTGCTTTCTTGTTTAAAGCAACCTGCAACTCGCTTTAATGTTTGGTCTTTACTTGAAGACCCAGAAACCTAAAATCTATTGAATAAGACGGGAAAAAAGGAGTTAAGCAGGAAGCTGAAAGGGGTGAGGCGAGGGTCGTTCCGGGGGTGAGGCTAGCCGGGGATGGTCCCGGGCGCTCAGCACCCCGCAGGTCTGGGTGCGGCTAGTAGGGGCAGTCCCGGGACCTTAGGCTCCGCGGGTTGGAGAGGGCAGGGACGGCGGAGACCCGGGTGGTAGGACCCCGGGGGCGACCAGAAGAGAGGCACCGGCTTCGGGTAGGGGGTGCGTCTGGCCCCGCCGCATTCCTGAGGATCAGGTTACCGGCGAAGACCGCAGCCCTTCCCTCCCTTCCTGCCCTTGCCTGGAGCCTGACGGGCAGCCACCTCCCCAGTCCAGGGCAGGTGTTTCTCCGGCCGCAGGGAGAGGACCCAGGCCCTGCCCTCTGGGCTGGCACTCTATCTCTCTGTCTTTCACAAGGCCATTTTGCAATTCACACGTCAACCCTCGGCCGCAAGGATGGGGCCAGATTGATATCTGGCAGAACCGGCTGTATGACTGGTGGCCCTGCTGACCGCTCCCCGAGGCTGTGGTGTATCCCCAGCCTCCTGCAGGCCTGGGAGAGTCGTTCAGTCCGGTCAGTGTTTGTTGATTGACTGACCTACTGTGCAAGGGCTCCTGCAAAGAGAAATCTCACACCAGCCACTTCCACCCCCAGGACAGGCTCACCCAGTGCACATGTAATGTGTTCTTGCTGTATTCCCAGGCCCAGATGAGGCCCTTTCACGGGTGGATGTTGGGGGAACCAGAGGGTTTGGGGATCAGAGAGTTGGTGAATTCATTTTCATTGGACCAGCTTCAGAAGTTGACTTGTTTTTGTTTTCCTTTGGGCTAACCTCAAGACCCAGCATCCATCCATTCCACCACCCTCAATGAGCACTTACTGTGAGCACCTGTGTGTTGGCCATGGGTTTTTGGCCGCCCTCATCATCACCTGAGCTGTTATTCTTATCGACAGAAAACAACATAAGGAGCACATAAGCACTCGCCATTTTTCCTTTATTTTGACCCCCTTTTCTGTTTTTACTTCCGTGAGTATATTTCAAAAGGGAACCTTCGTGTCACCAAGAATGGAAAACCAGTTTCCCTTGCCATAAATAGAAGGAAATCCAAAAAACGATTAAATGAGAGCAAAACAGGCATTCCCCACCAGCTCAGGGACACTCTGGGCCAGGCCTAGATCAGGAATGTCCAAACGTCCAGAGAGCAGTAAAGGCAGGGAAGCCCCAAACCAAGCCAAAGAAAACTTCAGGAG